TGAGGGACCCCACCTATGCACGAATTCATGCACTGGCGCCGTCGTAGTATTCAATAATTGTTGGGTTCCATCCCATTCACCTGGAACTGGAACCTCTTCACTCCCTACTAGTTTTAACTCCAATTCTACTTCTCTGTTCCTTCTTTCCAAGTCCCCAGGTATGGTTTATTTTCCAAGCGTATTCTCTGACTATTCAAATGTCCAAAAACATCACTCACATGATACACTGTCTTAGACTTGCTTCCAAATAAAAGGAGAGAAGGAAGTAAGTGGAGAGTATGGGTGGAACAAGTCTGACCAAGAGTTGAGAACTACTGAAATTAGATGATGGGTTCATGAGGGTTCATTCTCCTATTCTGTACTTTTTTTGTATACATTTGAAATTCTCCATATTCAAGCTTTTAATGTCTATTTAAACACATCACATTATATTACAATTATATGTTTATCTCTGCCTCCCATTAAAATGTTTTCTCTCTAAGGACAAGGGGTAAGTTCCATTTATCTCCAAGCACAAGGATAGTCACCCAGGATATAGTAAAAAAAAATTCTCAATCAAGTGAATAAAACAACCCTCAAAAATAAAAAGTAACTGAGTTGCTCTGGCAGGTTTGGCTCAGTGGTTAGAGCATCGGCCCTTGGACCAAAGGGTCGCAGGTTAGATTCCTGGTCAGGGCACATGCCCAGATTGCTGTCTCAATGGGGGCGTGCAAAAGGCAGTCAATCAATGTTTCACGTTCACATAAATGTTTCTCTCCCTCTCCCTTTCTCTCTCTAAAAATCAATTTAAAGGTCTTTTTTAAAAAGTAACTGAGTTTTACAATACAATCCCTTATTGTGAATAAATTATACATTTTCAGGTATAGGCTTGCCTGTACCTAGAGAAAAACACCAGCTACATTAATGTAATTCCAACATCAATATAGTTATCTTGCAGAATAGTTCCTAATATTAAGAAATTGTAATCCTTGGTATGTGAACAACTTAACAACTTTAATTTAGTACTGTTAACTCTCAGTTATTCCTTTACCATAACTACCACATAGAACTGAAAAGCTCTTAAAGATAACTGAAATTGCTGCTAAACCACTCACTATGGGACTTTGAGAGTAGCACCTGAATCTGACATTAATAAATCACCTTCTTTACCCTGGCATCTGTCCTTTCATCCATATACCACTAGAATCACTGTTTTGTAGCCAACACAGAATAAGTGGAACTGTGATATGAAAGAACTAAGTGAAGTGAGCCCATAGCTCACTTAGTACACCAAACCTCCAGGAGACATGCCAAGAACATTCTGGAATATTTGAGCCACAAGGAACATAAACTAATTATAAGCCTTTAGAACTTACATGTGGAACCTTGTAAATTGGATACTTCTCAATCCCAAAAGCAGGTTAATGTTGTAAGGGTATTTTCTTTGTTTGTTTATCAAGGTTCAAAATGTTCTAAGTCTAAATTCTCCGTGGAAAGGTTCTAAATTGTGGGTAGAAATATTTTGATGCAATCTAAAGAGAATAATGTGGTGCTTTATCCCAAATACTTGGTTAGCAGGACATATTTTATATAACTGCTCCTTCCAACAGTCCAAGTTGTCAAGCTTTTCTCAAAATAAAGAAAAACAATGAAAAGATTCCATGCCTCTTCTTTAGTCTAAACTCCAAACCTGTAACACTCAGCTGGATTCGTCTTAGATTACACGTTGTGCAAATTTCTAATACAGAACAAGAACCTATGGACTGG